ATCAACTACGAGAACATGACTCCATTATTTATGGCTTAAAATAATAAGCAGGTCTCGTAGACCGCTGGTCAAACTGTCGTTGTTATTTTCAGCATGTTAAAACAGAATGTAGGAGGCATGTAAAGGTCTGAACATTTATTGTCCCCTAACCGACACACACACAATTTGGAATGTGTGTATGCGTGAGTGTAATTACATAGCATTAGTGACAGGTGGTCAGGACAAAATAACATAATCAAAGAAGAGCAGAGAGAAGGAGAAGGACGGAGAGAAAAACATGTGTTAGCCTTCCTCTAACCCTTCATCTGTGGTCAGTTTCTGACCACAGAGCTGCTCTTGGCTGAATCTTGAATGTGCTTTTGCTCTTGAATGTTTTTTGGTGGTGGACCACTCGTGCCATAAAAGTGACACTGACATGTATTAAAACTCATCAGAACTGATCGACAGAGACATGGAAAAAGTGATATGATCAGACGAGTCACTATATCCTCCAGAAGTGGGCGAGAGTGCACCACAAGAATGGAATGGCTCTGTTGTACTGTGGAGGGCATTTTGCTCGCAGGGTTTGGGTCCACTTGTCCTCTTAGAAGAAAGGGTCACTGCAAATCCAATATTAAGTTTTTTTTCTGACTGATCAGAAATGATGTAAATCATATGATGTGGCTTTCACAGTTACCACATCTCAATCTATTTAAACACCTATGGGAGATTACGCCACAAGAGAGCTCTTCACTACCCGCCTGTTTAAGTCATAAGAATAATGGTTATTAATAAAGTGACCAGTGAGGGGAAGCACAAGGTAGGTGTTTCTAATAAAGTGGCCAGTGAGTGGAAGCACAAGGTAGGTGTTTCTAATAAAGTGGCCAGTGAGTGGAAGCACAAGGTAGGTGTTTCTAATAAAGTGGCCAGTGAGTGGAAGTACAAGGTAGGTGTTTCTAATAAAGTGGCCAGTTAGTAGAAGTACAAGGTAGGTGTTTCTAATAAAGTGGCCAGTGAGTGGAAGCACAAGGTAGGTGTTTCTAATAAAGATGTGCAGTTGCAAGTTAGCACCTCTTTTGAGATGCAGATTTTTTTTATTCAACACCAGGCCGCAGCAAGTGCTAAGCAAAAGTCCCAGCACTACAGGAAATGGTTGCTATGGTAGCCCAGATCGACATCCTGTCTGAATAGCAGGTTGGAGAAAAACTCCCCAAAGCCCTTAAATACTGTCACCAAACGTTCACCTAACCTTCATCAACTCATCGCATTCTTTGCCACCCACTCATGTGGTCACTCCTTTAGTACTGAAGCTCTAGAACTGTTCCCACGGCCTGAAGGCCCTATGATTCTTTAAATCTTTACTCAAAACTAGGACTGCACTATGTATCTGTAACAAGCGAAGGCAGGATGCATGTATGAGAGAACAATTAAGGAGCAACTGAAGCATGCACATTTCTAGAGTGAACTCCCACGTATTTCTCATGAACCCTCAGTGGTTTTGTTCTAGAACCAGACCTGCATGAGGATTCATCAAAGCTTAAGTATCTAAAACCTGGGTTAAGCTGTCATAAAACAGGTTAGCTGTGGTTGTGTTTGTTAGGTATTTGTGAAACTTAGTCAGGAACCCTACCTTAACTGAAGGCCCTGGGATTGTGATATGTACCTCTGTAATACTGATGGTGGCAATATATGACAAGTGAGCCCTCTAACCAGAGTTCTTTCACTGTGTGCTGTAATCATTCCGGCAAATCAAAGCTCCAGATGGTTTTCTGTGGGTGTTCACATGAACCAAGGTGTATATGTAATCCAACAAAATCAATTACTTGGGGTAAAATAATGCAGGTCTTTAACTATGTCACATTATTGATTCACTACTGCGTTTATAATATATTGTAAGCCCTGCTCAAGTATCAAGTATGTATGTTTTTCTTTATGTTTTATCATTTAGCATATTATGTTTGATCATTATCATCATTTGTAGGCCAAACGGTTACAGTTTGCCATGGATGAATCATGACTGTTAGAGCTAGTTCAGTTCGGTCCATTAACGTCAAAACTCAGTCAACATCTTGTCAAAAACACCTCTACAATAATGCTAATTTTTTTCCTATGGGATTCTAATAGTATGTTAGCACTAAGCTAATGGCAATTCGCATGCACATTTTGTGGCCGTTCCAGATCAAACATGGACATTTGACGCATGTAAGAGACGTTCCATGTTTTCTTTGAAGCTTTTAACAGATTATATTAACATATATTGTACCTTGTAAGAGTTTTACATTGAGACGCAAAGAGCTGCTGCTATGTTTCATTCCTAACAGTATCTAGAACTTCCAGGAGGCCTAGAGTGACATTTTTCTCACTATATTGGTCTGAAAATCAAAATGTACTTGGTTGATTTCACTGTTAGTAGTTTATCTGGTACGTTAGGCCTTCAGTTTAGCTCCTGAAGGCCCAACCAATGGGAGAGCTCACTTGGCTGTATTTGTAGATGTCACAGCAAAAAAAAATCTGATTGGAAAATTTTCTCTTGGGCAGTTCAAGAATGTAACCCTTTTGTTTACACCGTATTGTAAATCATTAGGCCTTGTCCGAAGGCCTAGAGGGTCCTGAGGGTTCCCGTCTGCTGTTTGCCAGTTAGGATTTGTTTGAAGATAAAAGCGTCACTGGGAGATGAGTTAAGCTGGCTTTTACTCGCAGATATTTAGCACTGCTCTGCTAATGTAACGTATGTGTGTACTCAACAGCGGCTGTAATTTGAGTCAGGGTGAGAGGAGGGTCAGTGTTGGTACACACATCTCCTCTTCCAAGCCTGGATGATACAGACCTCACTGCTGTATCTGGTATCTTTCAAAACAAATGCTAGTGAGGTCACACAGACATCTCTTTTTATAGCTCGGCTGGCAGGGGACAGCTACATGCAGTAACTTTTCCTGTGTGTGGGGGGGGTGGGGGGCAGAGGGGCACAACCCCTGTTCTTCTTGTTTTCCCTTTTTCTTCACTTCTTTTTTGTACTTTCATCCTTTTCCTTTTGTTTTTTATTTCTCTCTCACTATCAGTGTACCACTGCAATGCACACAGTACTGTGCAAAAGTCAGAAATCCCCCCTTCTTTTATCTTCTTTCCAGTCAAGTACAAGTTATACTTTTTGCAGGAGATATTTCTGAGGAGGTTAAATATAAAGCACTCCACTTGAAAAAGGAAAAGAAGTCATATGAAAATGAGTGAAAACAATTACTTTCCAAAACTAGAGTTCAAAACACGATTAAATGGACTCCTAACAACCACCTGAAAGCCCTGGTAGACCTCTAAAAGATCCCTCATCAGATAAACAGCTCTTAAAGCTTTCATCTTTGAGAGAGAGGAGAAAATCAAGCTCCACTCTTACTTCAGATCTGAAAACATCCACAGCTGTGGGTCTGAAAGGATGTGTAGCTGTCATTAAGCCCTTACTGAGAAACTAGCTAGAGCTCCTAAACTGGACATCTGGGATGTGGTGGTTATATATATATACATATATATATATATATATATATATATATATATATATATATATATGTAAATATATATATATATATATATATATATATAGTACATATGTTTGTAGTGGTTTGAGGTGCAGATCCTCACTCTCACACACACTGAACTGACATTCAGAGATCTAAACTCCTCCTCGAGTTTCAGCATCAAAGCACTTTCACTTCAAAGCAGCACTGAAGCCCACTAATCCAGCGTTTAAATATTCATCTCACAGATCCGTAAGACGAATACTAATTTATTTATCGCATTCCCTTCGCACACAGTCCTTAATCGCTTCCTAATCAGACGCTTTTGTCTGTATTAAACACTCTCTCTCTGCTCTTTTGACCAAGGCCTGACTTTACAGTGCTGTAAAACGGGAAAGCACAATGACACGGTAATTCCTAATAGTCACTTGAGAGCCTTACGTAAGTTTGAGCTATTTTGAAACATAGTCTATGTAAGCCCACCATCCCACTATAGCTCAAGTTGTGCAAATGTGTTCCTGCCTCCTTAGAACATACATATGACAGTATGCTAGGCAAAAATGATCTCCAGAGTTCTGTTAAAAATCTAGTTCCTCATAGCCGATCAGCCGAGACGTGTTTGGCTTAGTTTTACACTGGAGCTACACCATCAATGTGGCTAACAGCTAATTAGCATCTTTGTAAATTGCATGTTTAACTCTTACACACATATTCAGTAAAGCTTTTTCAGTAATGCTAACCCCCATGCTAACTACTTCACATGAGCTTTTTTATTTGTTAGCTGCGTTAGCCTTGTAGTTCCAGTACAGAGCTAACGGAGTAAACGTAAGACACCAAACATGGCTTGGCTGATCGACTTCATTTACTGTAAGAGGGAAACTGCAAAACGAGATTCTTTGGCAGAACTACAATTTTTAACCCTTTAATGCTGAGGCAAAAAGCTATTTCTGCAGTTTAATCTGTTCTTCTCGTTTAATTATATGATTTCTCACTGCTGTTGTTGCATTTATTTTGATGCATAAAAAACATGATCTAACAAATCTGAAAATTAGTAGATTTTTTGTGACAAAGTACCACTGTCAGCAATGGTGAGCTGTGGAGTTGGTGAATTTGCTGCTGAATGAAACGTATGGATGACAAGCTGGAGTGAAATGTGTGACACGTTAACATATTTTAGCCTGTAAGGTGTGGTTAACAATGTTCTGGCCCAAAGGCCCAGAGGCCCCGACCAGGTGACACCCCTGCATCCATCAATAAAGGCAGCATGGAGCTTCTTTTATACAGTGATAGGCAACAGAGTGGCACACAGAAAGCTCCAATTCCACATTCTGATCCATTGAACTATGGACAGCATGGACATGCATGCACAACAACTACTCTGGAGGCAGATCATTTAATCTATTTTCCCCTTTTCTGTGCTTCTGCAGCTGGTTTTGGCAATATCTCTCATTCCTTCTGCCCCCTCCTCCACTACTTTCTCATGAATCTTCTATTAATATTGCTCTGTGTGAGTACCTTGTGCTGGTCGTGGCAGCGGAACACGTAGCACGCGGCCCTCCTGTCGTCCCTCAGCAGGCAGCCGAAGTAGCTTGGGTCCTGGCTGTTGTGGATCAGTTTGGTGACCCTGTGCGGCCGGCGCTCAAACAGCACCGTGTGCTGCAGGGGGTCCCACGGCCTCCCCGGACCTGCCATGTCCAGAACACAGCGCACTGAAGAAGCTGAAATCTGCAGCACCACCGACTGGTCCCGAATCTACAACCCAGAGAAAGAATGTTACTGTAACGCCTTTTTAATATTGAGTTATTAATCTTTCAACTCTTTCAACCCTAAGAAATGACCAACGTTAAAAACATACAACAAACAGAAACACAGTGTTTCTTTACTTTGCAAAGCAGTTTAATAACAGCAAGGTTTCAAGATCATGTGTTGTCATGACTTTGTGATGTTACTCATGATAATACACTTCTTTTCATGTTCCATTGCGTGAGTAGTAAATCCAAAATTCTAAGTTGTAAGATTAACACAGTGTCATTGATGAAGCAGTGCTCTTTGACTGCTAATGGTGCCCCCTTGTGGAGAGGTTTCAGCCTGCTAAACGTGAGTGAGTGAGCTAGTCAGTTCCAGGTGCTTTACATATGAAAAGTCAATGATACACGCAGGGTTTAAGAGGTGAAGAGCTCCTATGCAGTAACTATCCTGAGGTATTCAGTAACTGCTATGAAAGTAACATTACGTCCGTAAATAAGATGGTGACGTGTTGGTCCCACACACAGACCACACACGTTAGAGGTCTGCTGCCTGACTGGAGCCCGACAGGGACGAACAAAATATCTGGTTTTGGGATGATTTTACACACACAATATCAGGCTTGGGTTTGACTGCCAATGGGTGATTTTTTAAAATGTTTGTAATAAGGGAATCTAAGACCAACACATTTACCTTCAGTTAAGATCAGATCCCACATTCATAATCATTCTGCACTGGAACACTGATCAAATATATGCTATGTAAATGTATATGCAATACTTTCACTTATGTCTATTTTTTATTTCTACCTGATTTAGGTCTATTTCAATTTTCATTTCTGTCTAATATATGTAAGTTTATGTGCAATTTAAGGTCTTGCTACTGTAACACTGCAATTTCCCTTCAGGATTGATAAAGCTCTAACTATCTCTGTCTCTATCTCTATGTATCTAAATATCGACTTATCTTTACCACTGTATTCTTTAGAATAAGATAATTTACATCAAACAGAACATGTCACAAAGTGCTATAATGAGGCAAGAGATGACAACTGACACATCAGACTGGTGATGCACATCCTGTCTCAGTTCTCCTGTCCTGGAAGAGCTTTATGCAATCAGATAGTTAATATGTGGAGCGGTGACCAATTGTGTCAGTCACACACTGAGGAACTCTGGAACGCACACTGTTGCATTTAACACCCTTGATAAAAATGTCATTATTACATTACGTGATTTTTTTTAAGTTGAAAGAACAATTTAAGGCTGCTTTGGGCTCAGATTTTCTTTCTTTGCACCTCAACCTGTGTGTGTTTTAGTGACCCTCAAAGTGTCTGACTGTTGTCCAGTGAAGCAATTTGGCTTGCTGTTATGAAGATACAACAGGTTTGAAAAATATATAATATATATATTATATAATATATAAAGCATAAAAACAAAAAAAGCACTTTAAAACCAGAACACATGGGTCTTTACTAAACTCAAATGATTCTAAAGTTCAGGTCTTTTTGTTATTATTACTTTTAGCAGTTGCAATCCTGAAATGGGGGGCTGCTCATCTCTGTAGACGAGTGATCCTAAATCAGCACTCTAAATCAGCTCCATTGAAAACAATGGAAAATCTGGTTTGCGGTCCTCTGTCCACCACCAACATGTGAACGCAGTATTACTTCAAGGAATTTTTGGTGACACTCCACTAAACCTGCTACAAAACTTTGACACAACCATGGCATAAACATATCAGAGTAGATGTCATATGCGATCATTCGCTGTCATGACGAATTTTGTTCAGCAATGTATCAGTGTCGTATTACCATTAATCAGAGGGTCAGAGGGTGACATAAGCTGGCATCTTTCATGGCACTTACTGGTAAATAATATTATTACTGAACAAAATCTGTCATTACAACTCAACAGTTTATGACACCTGTCATGACATGTTAATGGCATGGTTATGTCAATGTTACGAAGCAGGATTCCAGTAAAGTCTTACTGAAATTTCATGCACGTGACCTCAGACCTCAGCTTCCCTATTTATACCAGTCTTAAAGTCCCAGGAGTGTAAGTTATTACAAAGGCCTGTATGACAGTAAAACTGAGTGTTATATTAAACATCCAGCTGTAATGTCCCGCCCAGCTTTGCCCTTGACTTTGTCTGTGTTCCCTGTTGTTTGTCTTCCCTCATGTCTCTGGCCATGTGCTCTTGTTTGTTTTGGTTTTCTGCTCCGCCCTTTAGTCGTGCCCCCCACCTGTCTCTGATCTGCAGCCACGACCTGTAATTGTTCCCAGGCGTTCCTTGTTTATTCTTCAAACAAAATATTCTACCAAATTAGTTTGAACTACAGTCTCACAGTAAGAACAACTATCAAAAAAACAATGAGGTATTCAGACATTGAACACTTACAAGAATTATCTACTTAAACCCAATACATTAGTAGAGATAGTAATAAGCTAAATACATACAAAATAATCATTTATAGAGTCACTTTTTAAAATAATACTTAGATATTTTTATATTTCTTTCTATGTTTTTAAATTATTTGTTAAGTCATGTTGAAAATTTTAGATCATGAGTTCAATTTTTAAATAAAAAACCTTATTCAAGAAATATTGTCCTACGTTTTCATGTCATTACAGAAAAATAGAGTTTTGGTTAGTGGGTGGGGCCTCATTTTAGCCACACCCCTGCATGTTAGAGCAGGATGTGAGACTGCATCTCTGTCCCTCATGACCACATGGTTAGCAGTTAGATCCCACTGTTTTGAAGTAAATGTGTCCCAAAGTCTGAAAATCAGTGTGGAACATTAAGAATTGTCACTAATGAAACACATATTTTCTCCAATTAAGTAAACTTTTGTGTTTTAATTAAATTTTCTGTGTGTGACTGTTCAAAGCTGTGTTTGCTGGTCATGTACTGACGTTTTTTTTTATTCTGCTCAAAATTAGCTAAATTTGTCACCAGCGAAACAGTCACTAATGAAACATTTGGTAAAGTTTCAGAAGTATTATGATTGCTTTGGCAGTGACAAAATGGAATGTTTAATCATTCATTTTAATAACAGAAACATAATTAACCTACAGAGTCACTCAAAGCAGAAGGATTTCAGTTTAGAGTCCGAGTGATTCAAACATCCAGAATGGGTTTTAAACTCTGACTTTGAACCAATTCAGTATAACGATCCACATCTGCCCGTCTCTGTCTTTGTTTGTTGTTTGTTCTCAGATTCTGGTTTCGTGTATTTATTCCTGGTGTTTTGTACTCAGTTCAGTTCAGTTCTGTTTATTCTTCGTTTCATAACTTTTCTAGTATGTTAGTTTAGTTTTCTTGTTAAGCTTTTTCTTCTGTTTCTGGTTATTCTCTGTCTTCTTCTTCATCATGGACAAAAATAAAACACTCAGCTCGCACATTCATCTTGTGACGTGCTACCTTGTCTCCTTCGTCTCTCACCATGTTACAGAATGCCAAGCCAAAGAAGGATGGAATGAGCGGGATTCTTTCATGGGAAAAGGAAAAACTAAACAAAAAAAACTAAACTAAGACCCTGGAATAAAACAAAGTACAACCAAGCAGAACTGATGTGAGTACCGAACACTTGGAATAAATACACAAAACCAGAATCTGAAAACAAACAAGAAACAATGCCAAGCAAAATGCAAGACAGAGACAAGGGGTGTATATACAGGTATGAACCAACAAGAAACACCTGGGAACAATTACAGGGTGTGGTTACAGATCAGACACAGGTAGGGGGGCATTACTCAAGGGCCAGAGAAGAAAACCAAAACAAACAAAAGCACATGGCCAGAGACACGAGGGGAGGTAAACAAGACGAGGGCAAAGCTGGGCGGGACATCACTCCAGCAAAGTCTGTACGAAAAAACAAGACAGAAATGTAATAAAGCTTGGCTTAAAAATTGCTTATCTGACCCATCAGAAAACTGTGTGGGCGTGGCCTAGTATTCTGATAGGCACACTTGATTGACATCCCAGTCTGTTACCACTAAAGCAGAAATAAACATAACAGAGCAAACAAGGTGTAATCAGTAAAACAGGGTCTACATATGCAGGTTCTGCTGTAAACTATCACCACTGTGTCCACACACTAAAAACACTGCCCAGCTTTAAGAAGGTTCTTATTGTCTTTACTGCTGGATGTGCATTCAGTGAATGCTGGCATGGGTGGTTGAATAATTGAACGGAAGAACAGCTCAGTTATGCTTACGAGGGTTGGCTTTCGCTTGGTTGTTAGCTTCCCCCGGTAAGTTTTCTGACTTGAACACAGATAGACTGTTGGGGTTCATGTAGAGCTGTGTGGATGGGACAGCCCACAACAGTGATGTGATTAGTGAAAACACTGCTTAGGCACACGCTACCCAACATTAGTGCTGTCCATTTTACATCGAGAGAGGAGAATATTGGCAAAATACTTTAACCATTTAGTGGACACAAGACGTGTTTGGTTTGAAGTTCACTTCTTCAGTTTTAAACTAGAAATATGAGGCTAACGTAGCTAACATTTGCTGTAATGGGGGAAAATTGCATTGCCTACGTTCGATTTTTCATCTAACTATCCCTTTGAACCTGACTGACCTCTAGAGTTCGAGCCGCAGAGGGGCTGGTGCTGAAGCTCCTCTCCTTCAGACGCGGCCTCCGGATCTCGGCCACCACCCACGGCAGCATGGCCATGGTGGTCTGAGGGTGGACTGCTAGAGAGCCCACTAGTGTTAACCTGTACTGAATCTCATCCTCATCCTCTTCGTCCCTCCTCTTATCGCCTCCTGACCCAGGGAACGGCTTGGTGTAAGGGGCAGGACTAGGCAGAGAATGGACATGGTCATCTAGGGGTTTGACCTGGAAGCAGATACCCTCCATGGCTCCTGTGTATCAGAGAGACAGAAAGTGAGTAACTGGGCAGCACAAATAGAGATGATTTAATACTAAAGCTACATTGAAACTTTTTTGTATAACTATTTTCTAGGCTCACAAACTCTTTTGAATAATCCATTTGTTTCCTGAAAGCCAGGAACAGGACAACGTTCAATCATTTCATTTCAGCCAGCACGTCCTGACTGATCGACTACATTTGGGATAAGAGAGAAGAACTGTGTTGGATTTTTTCCTCAAGTTTTCTTTTATTCCTGACTTTCTCAAGGGTGAATGTGCCTAAACGTGCCTGCAGCTGGATCTTGTTAGCATCTTTGGATAAAAGTATCGGCTGTAATGATCTGGAAGTCCTTTGTAACGACATGATGATTTTATTATTCTCTATTATTCAATCTTACAAGCCATGGACAAGCGAACAGCACGACGACGACATCTTTCACTTTTATACCAAACCATCTGTTTTCAGTCATATTACAGCACAATTTAGGAACAGACTAATCCTAGGATGGTGTGTTAGATTAGGATTACAATTCAACTTGAAGGCTAGTCTAATTTTAGGTCTGTTGGTTTGACCTTGTCTTCTTCACCACTGAGACCTCCTTCAGTAACGTCAACATATACATAAATTATATCATGACACAACACCGCATGTCTCACTGTATAGAGAGAGAGAGGGAGAGAGAGAGAGAGAGAGAGAGAGAGAGAGAGAGAGAGATAAATATAGAGAGAGCATGTTTTAATTTATGTACGGTTCAAATGTGAACCAATTCAATTCATATCATAGAGCCTTTTGTCCCAGTTGGCAAATCTCTATCTCTCTCTCTATCTATCTATCTATCTATCTATCTATCTATCTATCTATCTGTGTATCTCTCTCTATCTGTCTCTCTCTGAAGTCAGCGGCAGGTATAAATAGCAAGGCATGTCATTAAAACCACAAACTCTTATTTTGTTTTCCGCACAGCGATCAAGCTGCAAAGGGCGAACAACGACAAGAAATCAAACCACAACAGTCGAATGAGCTCACCCAGTTTAAAACCAATCCTAACAGCGGCCTGTTTCAAGAAACTGGCAACAGAAAGTTGTAAAACACTGTTGTTGGAAGAAAACCTTGTATCTCCAAAACGGTAACTTTACAGGAGAAAGAAAAAACATACTCTACTTTTAATGTAAGTCAATGGAACCAGACTTGTTCCCTAGTCATTTTGGGCCGTTTCTCATGGTCCATTCATCATGAAATCTACGCACAACGTAAAGCACAACAGGCATTTTCAGATTATGTCAAAAACTGAAAAACGATGTGACTTAGAAAATCCCACTTTAAAGCAAGTTTAAAGGAATTTGTCGAAACATTCACTGCACACATTTCCCCCTTAACCCAAATGTCCCAAATGTAGCTGAGCCAAGTTAGTTTGGGGTCTGAAGTCTGATTTTTTTAGTTTTACACTGGAGCTACGAGGCTAATGTAGCCAACGAGTAGTGAAAGTCTAGGTAACCATACGTCTTTCTGGGTGTCACAGGCATCCAGCAGATTAGGCTCACGGCTCCAGTGTAAAACTAAAGAACCGAACATGTCTTTGGTGGTCAACTACGTTTGAGGTAAGGGGGGAAAATGTGTACCTCTATTTCTTTCTGTGAAGATTTCCTTTAATGCACATACACACTGCCTTTAAATGAAAGGCCTGGGCTCTACTGCTACACCCACATTCATACACTCACACAGTACTCGCTCTAAAAACATGGTTCTTCAAGGGTTCTTTAGTAAAGCGCATGGTTCTGTTTAGTACAGTTCTTTAATAAAGTGAATATTTCTGTTTATTTAGTGGTTCGGTTCACGCTTTGCATGGTGTAATGGTTCTTCAGACTGATGGAGAACGTGTTAAATATGGTTCTATGTAGCACCAAAAATCTTCTGCTTTTTTGTTACAATAGAAGAACCCTTTTTGATGCTATACAGAACCATTTAGGACCATATGCAACACATTCTTTATCAGTCTGAAGAACCATTTCACTTTGCACAGGCATGGTTCTATACAGAACTCATGGTTCTAGATAGAACCATTCACTTCACTAAACTAATTCTCTTTACCTTGAAGAACCGTCTTTTTTGAGGGTGATGTGATCAGCACACTGGTTCTGACTGGAGGTCACAGACTGATGGTATAACTGTCCTACCTTCACCCGCAGGTCCGTCTCCTGTTCGAGAGGAAGTCCCTCAGTTGCGGCTCTGAGATCTCCTCAAAACTCCGCCACTGAGTGTATCGAGTCCCATGAAGTCGCTCCTCAAAAACACACGAAAATACAAAGAAAGAAGGAACTAAAATCGCTGTAGTGTCTTAATGCTGCAGCTGCAGAAAGAATCGAGGCTGCCTCAGTTCGAGGAAGTGGCCCTTCTTTCTCTTCTCTCGCCGCTCTGACGTTTCAATGAAAGCCGCTCGCTCAGCGTGAGAGAACTCGAGGTGACAACTCGGGGCTCGTTTGTTTCCACCCGTATTCCGTCTAGCCCACCCGCGCTAGGATTGGCTAGAAGTTCACACTCTCCAGGGCTTGTAGCCAATCCCAGCGCAGGAGAGCCGCGCTGGGCTGAAAACAGGTGGGGAAAAAAACAAACAAGACTCGATTTGTGACGAACAGCAGGGGGCGCGCTAGAGCAGCTCGCGTTGGTGTGATCTACAGACCATACCGCAGCGGAATTTCAAGACAACATAATTTGAAGATCTGCAATTCTAGCCCGGTATGATCGACGGTGCTATAATTCGACATGTAAAGACCCCCAGAACCCCACCGGACAATCTGACCTGATATATGTTGAGCAGTGTAAAGGATGTACACGCGAAATAATTTACAGAATCATTTAAAAATATCTGATTTTTTTATATTTCTTATAATGTGACACGGATCACGTCTCGTTGTCGGCGACGAGAGAGGCCGTTTCTGTCTCCCTCCAGTGGCCACAAGCGGAACTGCAGATAGTTTCAGTTCCATAAACTCTTCCGCTGAGCGTTTTTAGCTTTTTAGAGGGGAACAAAACTTCCCAGTAAGATCATTTTGACACTGTGGAGACATCTGGCTGTTCCCCACGAGGAGCAAACACTTTTATATTATTATCATTATCATTATTAGTGTTGCTGTTGTCAATCCCTCTGTTTTATTTATTTATTTTAAGTAAAAGAGCCTCGTTCTTGAGGAAGCAGAGCGCATTCTGTGATTTGTACCGATAGTGGAACCCTTTGTGATGAGTTTTAAAAAGGTACCATAAAAAAAAACAATAGGTTTTCTATCAAAGAGAAGAACAGTTTGACCGTTAACGCTCTCAGATGGTTCACAGTTCCATATATAACCACTGTCATGACTAAAAAAACGTTTTAAGACCCCCTTTTAAGGGTGATAGGAGTGGGTTAGGTGTCATACTGAAGACACAAAGACACTGTTAGCTGTGGTGGTCCATAAATAGCTCTGGTGAGAGGGCAGTGACCGAGTCAGAGCTCTGGAGAAAAGCAGCTTCCTGAGCGAAGCATCATGATTTAATATAGAGCCGCACAGCAGCTTCATCATGGATATAATCCACCAGAATAACAAACAATGAAGCCAAATTTAGCCGAGAACACTGTATCATATTAGTGCTCTGGAACGCAAATACGTTTCCATTTTAGTCATGATACAGTCAGTGGCTGAACTGTAATTAATGGGGTTAATAATAACAGTATTTCAAAGAATGGCACGTTTCCAGGGGACTTCTTTTGATGATGATGATTATGATGACGATTATTATTGTTGGTATTATTATTATTATTATTATTATCATTATTTCTTGCATCCTCCCTCAAATCGAGCTTTGCTTGTAACCAAAACTACAAGCGATGAAAATTAAAAATTGACACAGAATGAACAAATAATCTTAATCGACAGTGAAGAACCACTGCGCAGTAATGTAATATATACATTACACGAACATCAATACGGTTATTTTCAAAACAAGTTTTGTTTTCGAGCTTCTAAAGCCACCATGTAAAAAGTGCTTCGTGTAAACTGACACTACACCGCAATTCCACTATTGCGCCGCCAGAGGGCGGCAGAGCAGCGCCTAAACGCCGACAAGTTCAAGGGGAATTCTACAGATTTTTCCAAATTTCTGCATAATATAATCATTAAAATGCAGGAAATGCAGGCCTGGATCATTATGTTATCGCCCCATGGGCACAAATATTTGGTGGGCTCTTACCTGGCTAACTTTTTTGGTGGTCAGTGAATTTTTCATGACATCACAGCAGGTTACACAACCAATCACACACACACTAATTGCAGCGTTGGGCACGTCACTGCTGTAAACTGCAGATTTTTTCCAGTCGAGACAAAACAATGGCAAGATTACACCCACACGCAGCACATTATATAGTCTTTAGGGATTTCATCACTTTGGTTTTGGTCTCGTGATAGAGGGGGGGCGCGAAAGACCGCAGGTCACGTAGCAACGAGGTTTCGCCAGGCTAGTAGCGAACGAAAAAGGAAAAGAGACAGACGAACATTTGGAGACGAATGGTCGCATTTGTAAGCAGCGCAGTTGGTTTCCTGGTATGTTAAATCTGCAACGAGAGACTGTCAAACAGTGAAAAGTTGCGAAGATGAAGTCGCTTCTCTTTCTAATTTTCCCGTTCCACCTTAAATGGTGCCGCTTTTACATTCGGCGCCTCAGTCAGAATTTAAGGTGGAACCGGAAAGTCGGGCAAGAAGCTGGCGAAGGAAAAGCGACTTCAGCCTCGTAAAACACACAGACATTTAACTGATCAACTTCTGAGGAAAAGTTTTCTGGTGGAGATGGAAGAAAAGCGGCTATAGCTGAATCTTACAGCAGAGCGAAGTAAATCTGCGCTCTTGTTTATATTGTTTAGCCTAAACTAGGATATTACCACACACTGAGACATACTGGACATTAAATGTTGCGGCTCCCAAGGTGGTTTGATTTTTGTTGAAAGGACAAAACGGCTCCTCTTATCATTTGTGTTGCGACTCCTGACTTAATCTGGCATTAATGCAGAGGGAGCCGGTCGGATTTCTCCTCCAGTAGTGTCTTTGTTGTGTGCCGCCACAGACTGTCCGGGCGCTGCACTTCCGCACTTCCAGTTCCGCCTTTTGCGTTCCGTCAACATTACGGTATAAATTAAATATTTAGAAAATCGATTTTTGACATTTATGAATCGATTCAGAATCGTTCACGTCCGCATCGCGATGCATCTAATAATCGATTTTTTCCCGCACCCCTACTTTTGACCATATTGTGCATCGAGATTCTTTTTAAAAGATGGTTTTGTATCATTATGGGGACCCCTTTAAAGAAATGCAGTGCACCCACACAAACAAACAAGAACCCACAACACTCAACTTACTGCATCTTGCTGTTTATTAAGGCGAAGTAAACAGTGATCTACAATAGAAGCATCATAAACAGACATAACTCTTCAGAGACGTCTCACCACACTGAAGAATTAAAAAAAGAAATTCAGTCATTGTTATCAGACCTGGAACCATCTGGCAACAACTGTACGTTCTGAACATTCAACATGAAACAATTATCATAAACTACAAAGAATTACAGTGAGGAAAACCTGGTGTAAATTACAGTGAAGTATCCCGTTTTAGTTTTTCGGCAAGTTACCAAGTCAAACAGACGTGTCGATATGGTTACAGCTACAGTCTGACACCAATGAAGGCCTGTAAAACAGGGGACAGGGCTTTGAGCTCACAGTGAAGTTAAAAATAAGTGACATCCTGTGGTAAGACTGAAGTTGTCTGGTCATTAAAGTCATTGAAAGTGGTATGTTTTTGGAATAAAACCATTTATGAGCCATTAAGTTTGCAGTAACCTTTTGAACGTTTAATGTGTAGCAGTGGAAGTTAGGAACTGCAGTTACAAACCCAAAAATACATTAAAACAAGTTTAAAGTAAATAAAAACAAGTCAATCTGACACTTCATTGAGCCCTCATCACTATTATTTACCCAAGCAGTGCCTCAGGCAGAAACATCTTCACAGTTTATTAGGTCCAGATAATAACAAAAACAAAAACAATAATAATTCTAATCTTTTGGTTCTGTCTACGTTTTATTGTAGTTACTGGAATGTAAAGCTGCACAGAATAGTGACAAAAATCCCATTCAGTCTGAAGAGAAACTGTAATGCACCTATGCTTCGATTAGCATTGAGTGTCCAGTTTAAAGTGCTACTTTCGAGCTTGACTGTGTTGTTGTGGCTGATCAAACTTTATAGTCTAAAAAAGACAATAAATCAGCCAACATGCTGTCGTACATACCATTTAAATGTCACTTCAAATTCATAAACACATCCTAAATTTAAGCAGTTTCTCTTCAGGCTGACTGACTTCTGTCAGCATTCTGTAAAGCTGGTCCAACATAGCAACAGTTGCTACGATGAAGCAGAGCACAGACTGATCAGTTATATTATACTGTAATCAATGGAACGCACAGCTAATAGGAGCAGAAACCAGAAAGCAGTATTTTAAGTGTTTGACCGCTAATGGCGCCCCCTTGTGAAACATTTTCAGCCTGCTATACGTGAGTGAGCGAGTGAGTGAGTGAGTCAGGTCCGTGCTTCGCATCTACAAAAAACTGGTAAAAAAATGGTAACATGTACATAATTTAATAAACGTCTCCATTATTTAGATCCTTTATAATGAATCCTAAGACATGGGAACTTCCAGCCAAACCTCTTTGTGTCTTACACAAATAAAATGAAATGAAAACAGTAGCAGTAACACTTTACTGTGAGGTGCTGGTCATAAGGCTTTATGACACCTACATAAGCTTGTCATGACAACCGATATAACCCTACTTAACTGTTTATAAATGCTTATTCCAATAGGCGTCATTCGCTATAAAGGTGACATTCGCCGGTTTTGATCAAAGTGAGCTAAAGAAGCCTTTATGACAGATGACGCCTATTGAAATAAGCATTTATAAGCATTTATGTGGGGTTCTGTCAGTTGACAAGCTCATGTAGCCTTATAAACACTCCAGTAAAGTGTTACCATAGTAGTCAGTCTTGAGTACTAGTGGGAAGGATTAGTTATACATGTGGAGGAGGGGTGACGTACTTTTATGACAGAACGTCTATGTTTATGAGCGATTTGCACGAGATAAAGAAATCTCTGTATGAATCACACACTTCCATTACACCAAAAAAGTCCCATAGGTGATACATTTGGCTGCTCACAAGCAGAAAGCATGTCCAAACATTTCATTGAATCATAATTTACTTTACTACCTACTGTCTTACGTGAATACAGTGTGGTATTAGCGTTGTTATTAGCATGGGAACTTACAGCCAACAGTCAACACTGCATGAAATCAAACTTCTTTCTGGCACTTTGCATGCTGTCGTACACTTAAGGTTGACATCAGCATGATTCGGGCCACAGAATGCAAGTAAATGATTATGAAGCCTCCATGTTTAGGAAAAACCACAGGAATGTTTATGAGAAATTCTGCTGACAGTGCAGATTCTTAACTTTCGATCTGGACCACATTTGTGTTTGGAAGTAGAAGATACATTTTACTACGATGTGAATCTGCTGGAAAGTTATTGCTGCGTGCGCAGTCGTGTTTTGTGGAAAGAAAAAAAAAACATCGCTTACATGTGTGGTGGGCGAGAGGGGAAGTCACCAAATTTCCCACTAGCACTCGATGGGTGCTCCTCCCCTATTCTTGGACAGCTGATGCTCGTTTGGGGAAGAGCTCTTACAATAACACTGTCGATCTCTGGTGTGAGAAGAGAGAGAAGGACACTGGCCTGTCAGCCACACGCTTTTATCATCATTTATGGCTCTTCCCCAGACCGGAGCCACAGATCTGCTAAGGTTCTGTTATTGCCATCAAAACAAGTAAGCATTATTCTATTCAAATAGTCAAACACCAGTGATAACATTAGACCTCTAAGGGTTAAATCAGTGTGCTTGCCACTCACTCTTGACTCTTACTTCAACAAACAGAGTTCAAGTCATTTTTAATGGGCGCTTTGGAATGAAAGTTGCCACTTAGTTCACACTCCCTGCACTACAATCACCACATATTGCACTTTAAGGTAGTTAAAGGCAGTTCAGTGGAAGTGAGGCGTGAAGATCAGACCGACCCAGTATATTTAGAAAAGCAAAGGAATGTTAAACTTTTTAGCAATGTTAAGAGCCACACTGGCATGAGAGTGATTATGATTAATGTGATTTATAGCTGTTTATACATAGTGCAGTCTGTAAGCAACTGGAAAGCAATTTGTTTGGCTCTGCACTCTTCTGCAGCTAGATGAAGCACCATCTGCAAAAGACTAAAACTTCGGTCGGATGGGTGTGTCCCTCCTTAATGATCCAAACTGTTGATTTTAACCCCCCATAATGTTTTAGCAATTTTCTTTTCAACCTACTTAACTAGAATCTTTCTTGGGTATTCATGCTGAAAGACAACAGATTCCAAATGCTGCAGTGGTGCTCTACTTCCATTGATGGACAGTGTGGAGAGAGAGGTGCAGAAACAGATGAGCTACAGTAACTATAAACCTACAAAGTGCACCTATACGGGTGGCGTACCTGTAAAAAGGCTAATGAGTATACGATTTCATAAACGCCCTTTACTTCATAGTTAATGTTTCATTTCAAATCCAGTTTGCTGAAGTACAGAGCCAAAACAACAAGAATTGTGCCACCGTCCTGAAAGGAATACTCCAGCGCTTTGCAACCTGATCTCTATCTGCGAAGTCTGCAGTGGATTAATTACCATGGACTATAAATTTGATATGTTTCCCAGTACTTAGGAAAGTACCTGCCCAGTGGCTTCTACTACAAGTCTTACAAAATGACCAGGAAGCATCTCACCCTTGGGGTCAGTGTTTTATAGAATTTCTTGTCTTTTGTTGTGAGAGTGCACAAATCAGACAATCAGGCAGAGAGAGAGAGAAAATCACTGCTATCATTCTATACTACAGTGAGAACTGCTGAAGCACTTTACTACAAACTGGCAGGCTGAGGTATAACTGTGAAGTGAATGACTTGAAGTTCTGGTTATTAAGGCATTAAAGGTATAAATGCATTTGCCAGTATTCCACAAGCAGCTTCTCCATCACCACACAAACATCTCTTTACCTTTTGCCCTCTCTGCAGCTCTCTCACTGGCTGTTGCCTGAATCACTCGTTCATTTACGTCACAGACAATCTCACACTACAGGACTCTGAGCATTTTCAGGGGTAAAAATCAAACGTTCGAAAATATCAGGAGCTTTGAAGCTAAATCTGAGGGCTAAAGATGGACTCACTTCCCCATCAAACTATCAGCGCCATGAGTCGCTTTAAAGCGAGCTCCCTACCTGGGAAATCGCTTCAGATTGTGAACATTTTTAAAAAGGGCCAAATCATGAGGCAACAAATCATGCAATATACGCAAGACCTAAGTAGGCTTTTAGTTTTGAAATGTCAAAATTATTGTCTGTGGTGACTGACTGTATGTTACATACATGCGGCAGATAGAAGTGAGGTAGAAAAACACTGGAGTATTCGTTTAAAGGCTGCATTACAAATGTTTATAATATGCAGAATGTAGGGTAAATCTCAGAGGTTAAGGGCATTTTAGGTGTTGAGCTGGTCATTAGTCATCTCTGAGAACTGCAGCTGAAGGGGGGGATCAGTAGGTTATGGCACAGCGGAGGGATTTGTAAATCGTGATGTAGGCAAAGTAGGAAAACCTTGAGGGCGCATATTAATGGATGGATCTCAGGGTAAAAAGGCTGATCCAGCATCAACTACCATTGTCAATACAGTGCTCATCAGGACTCAAAAGTTCTGCACATGTTTGTGTTTTCTCTACGCTAGCACACCCAATTCAACTCATCAGCTGATTATCAGACCCTTCTTGAGCTGGTGGACTAGAGTAGAGTAAACACAGAAATGTGGGATAGGTAACCAGCGCTTTAGCAGTAGCGGATCAGCGCTTTTACTTGCTATATACGAGCCCTGACGTTGTTTCTGTTTAAGAATCCGGTCGAGGGGTCAGGTTGTTCTTTTTGGGCTGGAAGAAATTCTCCACGATGGCGTCCACCAAGTTATTCAGCTCAGCATTCAACTGATTCAGATCACTAAGAGAGAGAGAGAGCGAGAGAGAGAGAGAGAGAGAGAGAGAGTGAGAAAGAGAAATTGCTCATGAGAAATATTTCCTGACCATGAGGAAATACGTGCAGCACATGTTCAGCATGTCTGAAGAGTCTGGTAGAGAAGAGAATGCAGAAAGCTACAGAAAAATCTGCACTGAAATTGACTTGAAATGAAACACCTCGTTGGCTGAGAGAGAGAGAGAATAATTTTAACACATTCGCTGACCAACAGGACACACACTGACCACCTGGCTACAAACTATGCCTTAGGAGTTTGGATACTATGACTGAAAGAGTGTTTTCCACACATAGGTTATACTTTTTTTGTGGTATGCTCACCCACCCTAGAATATTTCAGAACAAATGACTACACATTAGAGAAGCATATTATGGTCAAGTCAGCAGACATTATTGAATGAGATGAGATAAACGTGATCACTTTAGTGCACCTTAAACCCATGGACGGCACGTTTTCTGACAACTGACAATCATACAACTTGACGGTCAATCACGACAGATGGAATCTATCGGCGATTCATGATACTATCGTCAATCAGCTCAACCGCAACACACAAAAACACACCTGTTTCCTGGAGCAGCACACAGCTCTGTGTAGTACTTGATTTTAGGTTCTGTGCCGCTGGTCCTCATTGTGGCCACGCCCCCATTAGCAAAGGTGAAAGTGATCATCTGACTGCTCTTACTGGTAGGAAGGATCTGAGAGAGAGAATTTAAGAGAATTATTAATTTTTTCATTTGGTTTTTTTTTTTATATAAACACAAATGGTCCCTTCTTAAGAACGTGATGTAAGTTATTACTGTGTAATAAATACTTTACTGGAAAAAAAAAGTCACCACAGTAAGACCAAGTCTTACATCAACTACTTCTCCTGAATTTCAAAAAGATTTTACAGCCTAAAAATGGCTAAAACTTCTATTTTGTTTTGGACATCCGCTCTGCCAGCAGGGCGGCATTTCACAAAGCAAGATTACTCAGTTAGCCAGATAACTCAAGCCCAAAGTTCAGGAGAGGCCCGAGTTCTCCTCTTATTGAACAGACTTGCCGTTGGACTTCAGTTATCTGGCTAAACAGAAAAATACTTCTTTGTCAATAAAAAAAATACAGAAAGAAAAAAGACAAACAAACTTAATTAATACTTATTAATGCTAATGAAGCACTTACAGCCTTGTTATCGGGCTGGTTGCTGTCATAGCCCGTTGTTAGATCTCTGACTGCAGTGATGGCGAAACCCCGACACTCTTTAGGGTACGTCTTCTCCCCCTCATAGTTCCTCAAACGCTCAAACAGCTGTTTGATTGTGTTCTGGTCGTGGCAGATAAAGTAGGAGTTCTTCGTGATGTGGTAGCCATACCTGGATTAGAGAGAGAGAGACAAGGAAGAGAGGGAGAGTCAACGTGTGCTGCGTGCATCAAATAAACAAACACTTATCACACACACACAGATTTATTTGCAGAGTTGCATCTGCACTGTATAACTGACAACATAGACAACTTTTTTTGTACTTTAAAAAAATAAATAAATAAAAAAAAAAGGCCAAGGGAAAGAGAAAACAACTGGAACTGTTTGTTATACTGAGTTACTCCAGTGTTGGAAAGTTGGATAAAACTTTATAAGAATGGCTTTGGTAAGACATTCTCCAAGTCTCATTACAACACCCGTATTGTTAAAATGTAACAGTTGTAGTTTAAAGTCCTGTAGTACATTTTTTTGAGTGTTCTTACTGGAACAAAATAGTGGATGAAAACAGTCAACTTCATATGTGTAAGCTTCCTACTGGCTGCCTTTCAAACCTTCTTTGTTTATAATTGGAAGGCTGTGAGCAGGATGGGATCATACAATGGGTTTTATGAGCGTGTGCCCAGGGGCCCAAGCCACTAGAGGGCCCCCTCCAGCAAATATGAGAAAATCTAAACGCCTGTTTTAATTTGCAGTGGCAGTAAGTTTAACAGTGGCACAGTGAAAAAATGAATTAATGTGTCACTGTGTTTTGGCCGATCATAATCCTGACGCTCTCCATGTCTTTCCTCAATGCCCACTTAGTTTCTCCTGCAATCACTGCTTAGTAACAGTTCCACTATCTTTCATTAACTTGGTAAAGATTTCATTTTTAGCAGTGAGCTAGCGTCCCTGTGAGTGTACTTTGAATTTGAAGCTCCAGATGTTCAACAGATGTGTCTTGGGACCCTGTAAAAGTGAGATCTGATACTGGAACAGAGTAGAGGATGCCCATTTCTAAAGCCAAATATAAAATTTCAGCCATCTGAGTTAAAGAAAAAAGTTGCATCATCCTTGTCAGCAGTGATCTGTGTGATCACAGAGGTGGGACATAAAAGGGGGAAAATAAAATTGTCTGCAGCTGCCGTGACTGTATGCTTTGGCTTGGATGCTTGACGGTTTGGGTTTTTAAGTTCGCTGCTGTTTTATGTCTTTATGTACATTTCAGGAGGAGTTTTCCTTTAAACAATTAGCATGCGTGACTTACTCATCATAGACAGCTTTCAGTTGCTGGGAGAGGGAGGTGTTCTTCGTGGCAAGGTAAGAGACCAACTCTCCGGCAATGGCTGCTGCACTGACCCCATCCTTATCCAACACGGCTGGACTGCACATGTATCCTAGGTATGACATTTGATAATAAGTTATTACACATCTGAAAACTTAAGATTATACTGTATTTATGAATATGGTTGTCTGAAGAAGCTCAGCACATCTTGACAGTTTGGCAAACCATTACTTCAACAAGCTAAACATTCGTACAGAATGGTTGGTTTTATTTCTCCAGAAGTTTACAGAGTGCAGGTCCCTTATTATTAACAACAATAATAATGTATTCTGCTTTAGTTTCAGATGCACGTTTGCTGGTGTCTTAGTGAAGCATTTGGTAAACATTAGTAAGGTTTTTTGTTGTAGTCATACCGATAGCTTCCTCGAAGGCAAACAGTACAGTCTTGCCCTGATCCAGTAGCTGCTTAGCTCTGTTCCCCATCCACTTAAATCCTGTCAGAGTCTCCTACACAGAGAAAGAAAGAAAGAAAGACAGAAAGAACGAACGAAAGAAGGAAAGAAGGAAGGAAAGAAAGAAAGAAAGAGGCGGTTGGTAAATAGTATCATACCTACACGTACAACAGCCATAACATAACTGTTTCCAACAGTTAACCAACACAGTAGTGCTGCTCCTACCTTCTTATGAAGAGTAGGGCGCTGCTGGACCTTTAAGACATTCATGGGGATGAGGAATGATCTTATACGGTTATACAAGTTACGAAATTTGCTCTGATCAGTTTTATCGCATTTATTTTTGACCAGAGGAGGATGGGTTCCCCTTTTGAGTCTGGTTCCTCTCAAGGTTTCTTCCTCCTGTTTCCTTGCCACTGTCGCCAAGGCTTGCTCACTGGAGGCGTGGACCCGGATTCTTTGTAAAGCTGTTTTGTGACATCATCTGTTGTAAAAGGCGCTATACAAATAAATCTGACTCTACTTGACTTGAATTTTACAGTCCTGGGATTCCACTGTATTACACAGAGACGCACAGTTTTTTTCCCATTATTTAAAAATTGCCCTTAACATTGTGGTAAAACTTCATGATGAATGGACCAACAGAAATGGTCCAACATTACTTTAAATAAACGTTTTCTTATATTGATTACATGAAAAGTAAAGTATGTGTTTCCTTATCCTGTAAAGTTACCATTTCAGAGATACAAGGTTTTGTTCCAAAACGTCCTTAGAGACAGCACTGATCCCATACCAGTAAATAATGTTCAATAATGATCAACTATCAAAAGAGAAAACACAAAAAATAATCTGATCCAATTTTGTAACAAATCAAGTCAAAATAATAAATCAGAATTTGTATCATTATCAACCAATACTCAACATTTCCATAACGGCATCGGTCTCAGAAAAGAAAACATAGTTTTGTGCCGTCTCTGTACAGAGTAATGTAATCGTAAATACTGATATTGCATCAATATTGTGCGAGTCTAAAACCTCACAGTATTATGGCTTTATGGCTCTAAAACACTTGATTCAACCGAGTTACTCACTGGGTAAAATCAGAGGTGATAGATTGGGGTACAATGTTAAACACTGTAGAGTAGTTGGTGCTACAAGACTAGAACACACACACAGCTTAATTCCCATGGAGTCCACTGTGTGGAGTCAAACGCCAGGCGTACCTCAAAGTGGAAGCCTTCTTTGAGCGCAATGGCACGGAGGATTTTGGAGGAAACCGTGCTGGCCAGCATGTAGACGTCTTTCACCGAGGCCTTATTCTCCCCCTGCTGCTGCTTCCAGCACTGGAACAACCACCAGCCCAGCAAGGCGCCCAGTTCATTACCAGAAAACACCCTCCACTCACCACTGAGAGAGAGAGAGAGAGAGAGAGAGAGAGAGAGAGATGCTAGTTTTACTAATATTGTTATGGCTCATATTAATTCTAATTCAGATAGAAACAGTCTACTTTACTGGGCTTTGGCACTTGGCCTTATATTTACTATAGAGATAGGGGCAGCCATGTTGTGCTGATAAAACCTTTTCAGACTTGCACATTTAGCCATAACTACATGTGTGACAGCCATAACAATGAGTCAGTTTCACAACAGCATTACAAACCAACACGCTAATGCTGCACCTATAAAAATCCTCACAGCTGGATCTACTGTCTCCATTATTAGAGTACAAGCATGAAACAGTGCTTTTCCCATTGCCAAAACATTTTAGACAGCAAGTTCAGTAACGCATCAGTACGTACATTTGACTGAAAGAAAGGTTGGGCGGAAAATCTAATTTCCACAGATGAAACTGAGACGTGTGGTGTCCAAACTGACTCTAGAAGTCAATAGTCATCAAAATCCTTTCCGTAAATACATTCCCAAAACTTCTCTCTGCTTTTTATTAAGTTGAGCTATTACTATTAGGTAAACGTTGCTTTGTAGCCAAACACTGCCTGCATGCACACCACGTAGGTTAAACTACATTACATTCAAGATTTATGTCGACTGTGCCTTAAACCTCATCAGCAAGTCTGCACGTCTTTAATGAAGAGCTGGACGTGGTCTGAGAAGGCTGAGAGATGTTCGGGGGTGGAGCCTATTTGCAGAAAAGATCTGGGTAATCTTGACCTTGGGTTTTGTAGCTCCGGTGCTCAACTAAAGGAAAACTGGGACACCAAACAAGTCTTGGCTGATTAACTAAGTTTTGTCTAAATGGAAAACTGTGTAAATTAGATTTTTTCCCTAAACCTTTCCTTTAAATGCTTAAGTGAAGAAAATACCTCTGCGAAAGAGAATCTGAGGATGGTAAACCATGCTGCCATCCTGCTGGTGGTTAAATGACCTGTTGGCAGCTGCATACAGTCAACAACACAAGCAGCCCACATGAACAGTCACTAACCTTGGCTGTTTCTCAGCCACAGCCAGTCTGTCTGCGTCTGGGTCATTGGCAAAAACCACGGTGGCTCCCTCTCTGTCTGCCAGCGCAAACGACAGATTCTATACACACAAACACACACATATATGGTTATTTCATGATAATGTGCGAGTTTGCCAGATAACTAAATCAACTATCATTAGCTGCGCTTTACATTCTTTACACTGTTCAAACTTTTCATAATGAATGGACCAGTAGAAACTGCAATATTACCTAGAATAAAGTCTTATCATATATTAACATACGTTCTCATCTATGAGATATAAATATAAATATAAAATTATTACTAAAAAAGGTTCCCCTTTTAAACTAAACGAAGTATATTCCTATATTCTCAATGCCATTTTTATATAGCAGTACAATGTAGGTACTTATACACGTACAATATGTACAATAAAATAATCATTTAAAAAAGTGAACAAATCCCTGCCATAGAGCTCTGCAACACTCTGAGAGTTAAAATGCTCCAGCATAAAACAAAGCAGGGAGATTTACCAGGAATTTCTTAAACATTAATTTTTTTTAATCATGTATTCATGAACATGCATCAACCATGCATATCATGATATAACAGTGCTTAATGTGGAAGTCTGAACTTTACAGTAACGTTCGTTTATCCTCCGCAGTGACACTAATTTGTACTAGTGCCATAAAGGCTTTTCTCATTTTAAATTAGTATCAAGCCAACAGTTTACACCATAAAGCTGTAGCCTACATACAAACACTCAGTAGGTTTTACAGTGCATTTTCAGCAAACATGGACTTAATATTAACACTGACCTAATATAACAGAACGTAATGGGATTAGCCTTTTTTTTTAAATCCAGCAACTATACCTTCCTCTAAAAACTTAGCATGCAGTAAAGAGCGAGTTAACAGCATGCAAAAGCTTGTTTCCCATCCAGGGCGGCGCCAGAGCATAACGAATTGGGAAGCGTATGATGGGGGGCAGTGATAAGTTAAATTAGTGAATTAACATGATCTGAGGCAACATCACATACATAACAATAACAGGATAGACCTAGCCTCATTCCTGCCTGGCCAGCTTTCAAGTCCAGCAAGTCAACTATTTTCAATGGTGACGATAAACCATCACACAAAATCTCATAAGTTATCAAAGAAGGATCTTGCAATTTGCTAGCTAGACTTTATTCACATTTTTAGTCACATGCCTTTGATTTTCGATGAGTTTAACAGGCGACGCAGTGTGCGACACCGCCATTCCCGAATGCTACAACTTTTCTCTTTGACTTGGACAATGAGTAAATATGATTATGTGTATGCAATGTATACATTCCCCTGCACAGCACAGAGGCATATTGTTATAAGCAAAGTTATGACTATAAAATCTGTATTTTAGTAAAGGGGCTTTGACCACCCTCTGCCGTGCTGTAGCTACACATGCTGTGAATGGAGGTCTGCGTCTCCTGGAGGAGGGACCGTTTCACATGATCAGAGCATAACAGTGTAGCAGGAGCTTGTAAAAGCTGTGTTGATCTGTGTGTCTAAAAAATCTCTGATGAAACTGCAACTTCTTTCATTAAATTTCACTAACGGTGTTTAAGAGTCCATGAAAACATTACTGTGACTGTTTAATATTGCATTTAACAGTAAATCACTGAATACTGGCACATCGTCACAATATCATCACATTATATTTAAACGTACACTTCATATTTAAGCATGTTTATTTTTCCACATATAAATATAATCTCAGACATACAAGGTTTCCTTACAACAGAAGCCTCATGGTGTGTCAGAGTATGTGAGTGTGTTTGTACCAGCACTCCTGCTCCTTCCTCAGGGTTGGGGTACTCCACAGTGGGAAACTCAGGATCAGGATCTTTCTGCTCTTCCACAGCGTAGGGAGGTCTGAGGTCAAAGGCCTTAAAAGCAGCCTGGACAAACACGTGACCCACACCATGAACTGAGGTGTGTACGATCTTCACCTCTGAGCTCTTGTTCACCTCCCTGAGAGCAGACACACAGCGTGTTTACGTAACTGTAATTTTGCATTGTGTTCTGTTACGTCTGGTTTTTACTGCAGTAAATTCTTCAGTAACATCTTTCCATTCCAATTAACTTCTATGACTTTCTTTTATATCTTACAATAAGGTAAAAGGCTGTAAAAATGCATCAACACATCATGATGTACTGAACTGAATGTGGCATCAATTTTGGAATGTTAGAATCAAAAAAGAATAAAAAAGGAAAAAAAAAACATGCAATGTCGAGCAAAAGTCAGAGGCCCTTCATTTTGTTTCATTTCCATTAATTGTAATTATGTAATTATATTTATATAGTGTCAGGTAAATACAGAGAAAATACATGTTTAACTGAAGCCTCAATAACTAATTTTAATATTTATTTTCCAGTATTTATTGTGTCCATTCTTTGCCTTCATCACAGCTTCCATTCTTTTCAAGAGACTTGCCTTCAGTTTTTCAAGGAAATCTGCAGGGGTTTTCTTTTTTTCACACTTCCAAAGTTCAGTCTTAGAACTTGGTTGCATTTTCTGCTTCTGACAAATCCAAGTAAACCCAAACACATCGAATAATGTTGATGTCTGGACTCAACTAGTGTTCTGGTGCAAGTTTTCTTCTTTTTGTCTATTTCCTTCTCTCAATAACATCTTCTTGACAGCTACACATCCTTTCAGACTCATAGTGCTGAGTTGTCTTCTCACAGTGGAAGGATGGACAGAAACACCTGAGGATTTTTTCAAATCTGAAGCAGAAGTGGAGCTTATTTTCTCCTCTTTCTCAAAGATGAAAAATTTTGATTTTTTTTTTTTAACTCTAGTTTTGGAAATTCCTGTTTTTTTCCCCACTTACTTTCCTCTGACTTTCTCTGTTCTTAAGCAAGTGGAGTATCTTACATCTAACCTTCTCAGAAACAGCACCTTGTCCTTTTTACTGGACATTAAATAAATGAGGGATGGTCTCTGGACTTTTGCACAGTACCATAAGTTATTCTTACTGTCCGTGTCCCACTGTTGTATCGTAATAATCATAACAAAATAACTGAAATCATGATTTCATAATGCACCGAGTCATTTCATAAGAGTGTGACTGTGTGTATTCTGCAGTCCCTGAAGTGCCTGCTGTGTATTCACCTGTGACAGCAGTGCTGTTGTATTGACTGAAGGTATTCTCTGTGAATATCTTGATAAGGGTCTTTAAGGAGGGGGCTCTTAGAAGCTGTGTTTGTGTCCCAGGACTCAGGCCAGGGCTCTAGATTCTCTTCGATGGCTGCTGCAATGCCCTTATCGTGTGGGGGGATGATCTGAGCACCATTTTCCCAGTAAACCTAAAACACACACACATGCACAATGACTGCAGCTGCAACAATCAGTGAAGAAAGTCAATTAGTAAATTAGTCAATTATGGAAAACTGTGAAAAAAGTTCACAGGTTCACTTAAAAACAAAAGTACTTTTAAATACTATAATGTTTATTTGTTACAGGCGGGTCATTCCTACAGATCGCAATACACTGTAATACAAAGCAACGCATTGATACTGTTTCATAAAAAAGTGCAAACTAAATAAACAATGACTCTTGAAAGAGTGGCAAGATGTACCTTGTATCCATTGTCCTGTTTGGGATTGTGAGAGGCCGTCACCATAATACCAGCACACAGGCCCAGATGAGACACAGTGAAGGGCTGAGAGTGAGAAAGGGAGGAAAGATGGGAAGCAAGAAAGAAAAAGAAAGAACAGAGATTTTTCTAACCATTAGCTATAACTAGCATTGGCTGCATGTGAACTACAGATATTTAAATTAGAACCTCAGAACGGTTAACAGTCTGAGCTGATCTGAAAACATCTTTTTCACATGGTTATTGTTTGTATTGCTTTAATACCTCTATCCAGAAAACCCTCTGCTGCCTGTGTGCATGCACTGAGCACATGATCAGGTGGTGCCAGCTCTCTGACTAGTCACCTATGATTGGCTGGCAGATCAGAATTCAGTGTTTGGAGGGCGTGAGGTCAGTAGAGCAACAGATTTTATGGGAGAGCATGAACAACCCCAGCTATGAGAAAGCATTATTTTATGTTTGCTTTTTCCAGCTGTCAAGTCAGTGGCAGCATGACCTCCTATCAAGATACAGCACATACATGCTTACAAAATGGGTAAGTGCATGCAAAATGTGTTATTAAGATGATGTATTATTAAGATAAATAATATAAACCATGTTGATTTGAAAGATGCAAATAGTAGGAATGGAAAAATGAACAGTATATTCAATACGATACACAATTTTTTTAATGCACTAATACACACAACAGCCACTATATTTATAGATTAAGCATTATCCAGATGGGACTAGTTTAAATGGGGGGGTGGGGCCATTACAGAGTGGTACACTGGCATGTTTATGGCCAAATCGCACAGCACGAAAAAAACTCGGTATAAATGAGATTCGGGAGTTTTTTTACAGGAGGATGTACAGAGATTTACACACAGTCTTCACCCAAAAAAGTAGAAAACAGATAATGTTAAAACATTAATTTACCCAATATTTTGTTTACTCTAACCCTCTGTTTTTCCTCTTATGTGAATGCACTGCCATTAGCAATAACTTTTTGTCTGTATTTTAGCATGTTCTGGGTTAAAAGCATGAGACGAGACAGTAACAGCGCATTTTGGCTGTATTTTAGCCACAGAGAACTCAAGTGAACAGTTCTTTGAGTGTACTTATAAAACTCTTTCCACAGGTTATGATTGTATTTTCTCTGACATGTTGATGCGCATGGGATGAATACAACCTGAGGCTATTTTTATGTTTCATTTTACAAAAGGTAAAAGGCGTCCGAATCTTTACTAACGCTGGAGCTGCAGCCCGTAAACATTACTGACACAACACATTCAGAGGGGACTAAAATCACTGAGAAACAGCCGTAAAAATTCCATTATCCCACCTCCTCATGTAAAACTAATCCCGTCCGAATAAGGCTTTAAACTTACTGTATTTCTTTTAATGCCAAACAAACCACAGGGGTGGGCAATATGTCGATATTTATTATAATCATGATGAGTCATGACAAATGATCAATATGATAAATCACACTGTGTCACAGTATGCTTTTCTGAGTCATGGATCTCGTCTACTGAAAGAACACTGAGCAACTGCATGTTTCTTTACAAAGAGAGCATAATTAGTGGGGCTGTAGTCAAGACCACCTTTGTCACAGCTGAGACAATAGAAAAAAAGGTCTCAAGTACTACAGCGCTAACAATTAGTCCAGTTTTGTGCAGTAAAGTATCAAACACTGAATTAAAAAAAAAATCACTGGACACATAGTTTGTGATGGTAGTCAGTATTTTTATTTATTTTTTTTTAAATCCTACATTTTTCTTTCATTTTATTTTCAACCTCTCTATTCCTTAAACAAGCTGTTTTTTGTTATTGTGCCTTCAAGACTGATATAGCTACAAAAAAGCTCTTCTCTGATTGGTTGTCCTGTACTGTGCCTTATTCAAAAACACTCCTAAATCATCAGTGTGAATGAGCAGGGCTAAACTATGCTGAACAGGCAGATGTATGTACATGAGTTGGTTCTCATGAAATCACAATGATTTTAAAGTGGGCTGTTTCGTTTCTGCAGCTTAGTTTCCATATACAGGCCGTATGGACTGGGTAATGAATGGTATGTTTTGAAACAGTGTTTACAGACCACTCCATAGAATATTTTTATGGCTTAAATTTTGATTTTAGAGCTACTTTAAAATATTCCATTTTCATGCTTCCCCATAAATTACTTTGCTCAGATCAATACAAAGTCAAGGTCGGAAACACTACTGATGTAGACGACTCACTGAGAGTCAAAGTGCAGCATAAGCTAAACTCAGAGGGTCAAATGTTCAGACAGTATGTGTGCAAATGATGACAGAGCTGATCACTGGCAAACAGACACTCTGAGGGAAGCTCACTCTTAGGTAAGCGTGCCACTGCATCAGTGGTGGGCAGTAACGAAGTACATGTACTTAAGTATGTTTTTCAAATGTATGAACTTTATTAATGCACTTTCTTTGTGTTTATTTTTTATTTTACTTTCCCTCCACTACATTTTAAAGTAATCCTTAGCAACTGTAATAAATAATGGTGTGTGGGGGGGGGGCCGGTTTTAAACACATGCCCAGCAATATTCTAAAAATCTGGAGAGAGACAGTAAAGTCTGAGGTAGCGGTGGGCATTGTGGCTAAAATACAATATCACGATACTTCAATACATTTTCACAATACACAATATTATTTTCTGATGTTTGATACATAATATGGCCAAAATTACGTGGACACCTTCCCACCTAATCAACTTATTTGACATTCCATTCCCAAATCATGGGCATTAAATTAAGGTGGTCCATTCCTGGGGCTTTAACAACCTCCACTCTTCTAAGAAGTAAATTATTAAACAGAAAAGTCATCAAAATAACATAACAGGCAGAACAGGTAGAACAACACACAGCAGTTTTACTTCTGATACCTTTAAAAGTATAAATATAAACAGAAAACTACATTTTAAGTAGCATTTCAAAAAGGATCTCTCTACGTTCAGTCAGGTACTTTGTCCACTACTGCACTGCATGAGCCTCCAAAACACCTGAAAGGGAACAGAACTACACAATCTAGTGCTCTTCCTGCTCTAACCACCTGATTCAGCACATCAGCTCATTATCAGGATAATTATCAGGTCCTTCTTGAGTTCAGCGGAGACACTAAAAGTGCACTAAGGCATCATCTTGTGTAATGATCTGAGGGCGGTGCTTTCATTGCAGCAATTGTGGAATGTTTAAACTGATTCATTCTTGATTCATTCAAGATAAATTTCCACTGCTTGGGAGCCTCCAAGCTTTTAGAGTACGTACCACATACGGTGTGGGAGTAAAGGCCGAGAAGAGATAAACAGGAACTCCTCGGCTGATGAGGACGGCCGCAGCGAGAGAGGCAAAGCGCTTACTGCTGCCCCCGCTGGCCGTGTGCTCGCGGGCATCAAACCCAATCACCACGCCACGCTCCTTCAGGTCCTCAAAACACTGCTCCAGGTACCGACAGAAACCCTGAGAGAGAGAGAGAGCGAGAGAGGGAGAACGTGTTTCAACAACCTGGACCCTGAGAAGTGCTACAAGTATAACTGTATTAGGTTCTGGAGCTCAGCACCTCAACAGGTGCTCAAATATGGACTCATTAGTGAAATTACATTACAAAATGATTAAATTATTAAATGTCCAGACACCCATCAAAAGTCTGCAAACATCTTTTGATGTGCTTCGTATCAACTCTTCGCTTTACGTGCACTGAAGTGTCTTCTTTGGTATGAAGAGCAAGTTTTTCGTTAATAATTTGACAGTTCTGTTTTCCAACTTTTCTGTTAAAAGCACACCCTGAAACTTTTGGCCCCGGTGATGATTTAAACAGCTTTGAGTGCTGATGAGTGCCAACTTCACAACAAGGGGATTAAACGCAGGGCCTTTGGCCTTATCTCCAAACTGGTACCGTCACAAATATTTTCTGTGATACTGCCTTCTTCTACATAAAAAAGCAGTTTTTACTGTGTCACGTTATTGCAAACCAAGAAAGAAAACATCCTTAAACGTATTATAAACAGGTCACAATGAGGTGAACTCAAACTTTTGATGGGCAACGTATGAACGGATGAAGGACAGTCATATCTCACACATCTCTGTCATGGGTGATGTCACCTATGTGGTCTGAACTGGTCAGGTTTCTCTTACCTATATGGGCAAGAGTGGCCGTGTTAACGGCCAAGATTAATCAGTTAAAAAAAAAGTCAGTTAGGATTTATCTTCTCGATAAATCAGTAATAATTAGTCTGCATAATACATGTCCTCCTACTGGGCTGTCTCAGAGTAATAAGCAATGATTAACCAATTTATTTACATTTTTTGCCTCGTTATTTCTTTTTTAATGAAGTCTGAAGATTTTATAGCTTACAGTAAAGTATTTTGGAATCTTTGAAAAGTTCTGCATGGTTTGATTTTGTTCATTTAGGTCTATTTTTATTGTTAATACAGTATAGTATAGTATAGTATAGTACAGTATTTGATTGTCAAAATAGTCAAATACTCTATACTAATATGATCAATAATGGCAGTCCTAGCATGCATGCATAACAGTTATATTTTCACATGTGTAGTCTGTATAACAGTGCTGTCTCTCACCTGTGTGGTCTGTATGATGGTCAGGTCGTTCATACGAGACACTCCTGGGCCCATGGCGGCTCTCAGTCCGGCTGTGCCGAACTCCATCCGAGCACCAAAACACTTCTTCAGCTCATCCACAGCTCCATTCTTCACCATCTCTCGCACGCAGGCTGCTGTCTTAGCATTCTGTTTACAGACACAAAGCAGAGTCAAGTAAGAATAAAAGTTACTGCATAACCTACAGGGCTGTTCTTAAACAACAGGACCCAAGAGAGACTGTATCATGTTAAATAACATCATGGCTGTAGATCATCAAAGCAGAGTGTTCTCAAGTGTTCTACTGCTTTTGTACAGAAGTTTTTGAAGTAAGGAAAAAAGCTAAGCAACATTGTTTTTAATGCTGGTAATTTCTCCAGCCAGAAAAAGTGCTTCCACTACAACATAAAGAAAGTAAAAAAATGAAACACAGCTGGTAAAACATAACATTTGTAACACAGTGTACAGCTTAGGAACAAACCAAACCACCTTTTTCAGTACATCTAGTTTTCTATTGTAGTATTATACTTAGGCATGGTTGACATTTAACTACAGCTCAGAGTAAAGCGACCACTGTTGTTATTAAGCAACCAGCAGTCAGCAGAACTGAACAGGTACAGGTAGAAAATTATGCTGTTATCAAGAAAACATTTTTTTTCCTTGTGTGGTTCGAACTAACCACATAAAAACAAAGTATAGCATGTCAAATATATCCCCTAATAAACTCAGTACAGCCCTCATTCTTGGCTTTCGTAAATCCTGGGTCATAGACAGGGGTAGACATTGCCTGCTGCCCAGTGCCTCTGGTCACAACATTTCACACTGTGACCAGTATAGTCAAGTGGCCACTTGCCTTACAGTTAACTGTAACCACCTCGACAGCTGATGTAACAGTGTAGTGACTGTGGTGGTCCCCCTGCTGATCTGGCCCACCTGGCATTATAGATGCTGTTCCACTGGGTGGAAATTTGCTAATATGAGTCTATAAATTATGGTCTAAGCTGTTACATAAGCTGGCATTACACTGAGAGGCTCTCACTGCTGTAGCTAAACAGTACCCAATGATGTAACCTAGATCAGATCATGTCAGGGTGGGCCAGATCAGCAGGCAGACCACCAGTCACAACAACAATTAATGTGAAATTTCTAATAAGTAACCCCAGTTTGGTTTTTGGTACTCAAGGCTGCTTAATAATTCTAAACAAAGTGTATTTATGATAAACATGTCATCTCTCTGAGATCTAAGCTCTAATGAGTTTCATCACTAATGTGTTGTTCACGTCTGGCAGGCTTGGTTGACCAGCACCATGTGGGACAATCGGTCTCCACTTTGCCCAGCCTGCATTAAGCCACATGAGGCAACAAAGCTGAGGCCACATTCATCTCATAGCCATAGAATCAGACGGCCGATGGACACACAGAGTGGTTTGATGCGACATGCTCAGTTCTAGAGAAACGTACTGAGTCAGAATTCACAGTGGCGGTTATGGGAACCAGACATCCACCTCTAACAGCCTTCTGTGAGGGAGCTTTTATATTAAATGCTCATGAATACTCCGTATGAATGATGTCTGAGCCATTCATTTACAGCAGCTTTGTGATGCAGCTTTGTGTTTTAATCCAGTCACGGTGGAGGGATACATGTAGGGTGGTCTAAGGCAATATAGTCCCCAAAGAAAATTATTAAATTATTTATAAATTATTTTTTTCAAATTTATAACTATTTGACCATCATCAATGTTAGATATAATAACTCAGAAGACACGTGTAGGTTCACTGGTGGTTTGGGACAGAAAATGAAATGGATATATTTGCACTGTAGACACTGGGCTCACTGGTTCCTATCAGCACCACTGAGGAGAAATCTGAGCTGGTAAGTTTCTCTACAAATGAACATCTTCACATCAGACCACTCTGAATGACTTTCTCAACCACTGAATTATGCAGAAATTTAGAAAAATCGGTGGAATTCCCCTTTTAACACTATTACCTCATTAACGCAAATCAGCGCAAGTCACCAGATTTCCTTCTTCAATTTTGGTTAATCAGTTGCCTTCCACTTCCGTTTACAGCCAATGAATGAGTCTCACGTGTCCAAGCAGGGGGAGGTGAGTCCAGCACAGCACGCCACTCCAATTACTACAATAACGGGCTACAACCACTACTGCATTTTACTACTACTACTACTCCTCTTAAAAAAGGTGGTTCTTAAGGGTTCTTTAGTAAAGGCAGTAGTTCTATTTAGAACCATGAGTTCTATACAGAACCATTCCATGCTTAACTGCTTCTTTGCAAGGTGAAATGGTTCTTCAGATTGATGGAGAATGTGCTGTATATGGTTCTACATGGAATCTTAATGAAAATGGTTCTGCATAGCACCGGAAAGAGCACGATGACAAGCTTATAACAGAAGAAGAACCCCTTCTGGTGCTATACAGAACCACTTACAACCATGCACAACACATACTCCATCAATCTGAATAACCACTTCTCTATGCAAAGAACCTTTAAAGCATGAAGTATCTCTATATGGAATTCACGGTTCTAAACAGAACCAATCCCTTTACTAAAGAACCCTAGAAGAACATTTTTAAAGTGTGCTACTAGAGAGGTTCCACTGAGATTCACCCCTTCGTCCACAACTACGGACATTGTCCAGTCAGAGCGCAGTAACGCTGCAGTACTCAGCTGTGTTGTGAAACAGGCGCGCGGCTGTGCAGCAGAGCGGTGTTCGCCCGAGGATGCGCGTGCTCGCCCGAGGATGCGCGTATTCGCGTATTAGTCACATTTACGTGCAATTTAATGTAGCCTGACGTTAAAAAGTGCCCACCTCCGAGATTTTACTGCTCTTCGGCGGCTCCTGCGAGGTCATTTAAAGCCTGCGTTGTGTGTGAAAGCAAGAACTGTTACGGGCTGAGGTTAAAACCCCTCTTAAAGACCAAATCGAAGCTCATCTCCAGCTAACTAAGCTAGCCTAGCTAACCCGTTAGCCAGACGAGGTAGCGTCGCTAACGTTCGAGCTAACCTGGGTTAGCTAATTCGCTACATGACAGGATTGACAGGTAATCAAACCGTGACGTACCTTGTCAAACTCCAACCACTGTCTGACGGCGCTGTCCAGCCCGAGGTCCCCGGTGGAGCCCAGATCGTTCTCCATGTTTCTGTGAAGAAGTGAAGACTTCGCTATCCGGCTCAGCCTGAGAGTCAGAGGAACTGGAGCAGCGCTAGCCGCTCCGCCTGCGGTCTGTCTGCATGAGGGGGCGTTTCCGAGTGGCCTCGCAAGCAGAGTCGGCAGGGAACGTCACCGAACTTTCAAAATTCTTTCCCGAAATGCAGTCGTTGCGGTGTGAACGAAGTCATTCAGAGTGGTTTTATGTGAAATGGCGTGTTGTAGAGAAAGTCATTGACTCTTTACAGTGGTGGTGATAGGAACCAGGGGTCATGGTGTCTGCAACACAAATATAGCCATTTTATTTACTGTCCAAACCCACCAGTGAACCTACACGTGTCGTCTGAGTTTTTATGTGTAATGTTTATGATGGTAAAATAGTGAACAAACTGAAAGAAATACGTTTTTGGGGGGCTATTTACCTCTGCATGTTAAAATAAATTGTTTAACAAGACGTTTTAGGCATAAAACTATTGTATAACAGTATCTTAGGCATCAGGCAGCGTATTCATTCCCATTTTGTGTAACAACTTTCTGTTAGGGAGATTTAAATGCATTAAACTTTTCAGACGTCTGGTTCCTATCCCCACCACTGTGAACAATTCTGTTTTAGTACTCAGTGCTGTCAGTGACTTTGGTTGCATCTTAACCATTTAATTATGTAGAAAATTGGTGTAGTTCCCCTTTAAGGGGGAGCCTGGCCACTTCCCGTGTCTCCCATTGTATCAAGACCGCCGAACGCCAGAGGGCGCCCGCGAGAGAGTCCTCAATGAATGGAGGTGAATGGAGCCAAAGGGCTACAAATGAAAAGTTAAAAACGTTTCTCAGCACTTGTTCAGCGCCGTCCTTTAATGTTGGAAAGTAGAAGGATGTATTACACTGAAAAAGGAAAGAAAACTGACCTGTTTCCTTTTTTCTACACTGAACGGGTTTGGGGCAGTAGGGTGCTGGCATTACTGCTACTGAGTGCTGATTGGCTGGCATTCCTGCTTCTGATTGCTGATTGGCTGGCTGAGTGAAGCCGTTCGCGCTCACTGACGTCATGAACAGACACGAGGCACCTTGCTAAACTCCTCTAACTGGAGTTGAAAAGCTTTTAAAAATATAACAGCGGTGTTAAAATGTTTTATGCTGCTCTGTGTTCAGGAAATGAATGAATTCTTTTATATGAAAATGTTGAGGCATTTACAAATGACGACTTTGCTCAAATGCTCCATTTAAACCCATTCATTTTGGACTTGCTCAGGGGCGCCCTCTAGCGTTTCAGAAACCCAGAATACATTGCACATTACTGAGCGACGATTCTCCTGGAAACCTCACCAAAATATCCCACACAAACCAAGTGAGCTTTGACAAACGTTGTAGTTAAGCTTTGGCAATAGCAGCCTGCAGTTTGAGCGGCTGGTAGTGTTATATGTTCATGGTGAAGCTGAATTAGACTTACTTTCAGTGCTCAGGGGTGTTAGCTTGCTTATAGCATGTATGTAGCATTATTGTCATTACAACCTTATGTAAACCTGGCTTATGCTGGTCTGGTGCTGGTGTAGCTGCATACCAGCATGCACAACACAACATGTGCTGGTTTTGCTGGTGATCAGCCATGCTGGTCTGTGCTGGTGTTTTTCCTAGCAGGGAATTCAAAGCATCCAGTGACACCTGGGTGGGAATTGTACACAGGACAAAACGTATCAGCTTTAAAACTTGTTTGTTTACCACAAGGCGAGGCAGCAATTTTAGCCCAAAGGCAGTTTTCACAGAAGAAACTTAGATCACACCTTCAGAAGTGTATTAACTTTCTGCAAATCATCTCACTCTTGCATCAAACCATGTTGAGTTGTAAAGATTTCTCTGATAGACTTGCTTATGTGGTTTCTGACACTGTATGGCAGAACAAACAAGCAGCTTTTAGGATGCTACAACTACAGTCATGTTGAATTTATCCCATGAGATCATTGCGTGACGTACAACAGTCTACAAAACACGTCATTTCAAGTCTCATTTTAATAGAGTGAATACTGCATTACAAAGCAAGAGACTGCAATTCATCACCTCTACATTCATCCATTCATTCCTTCAGTCATTCAGTCAGCCACTGGCTCATCCGCTCGCGCTCGTCGGCCACTCAGTCAGGTCATGCTTTTGTTTCTATGTGCATTCCTCCAGTCCCGGTTGTATTTGGTAAAGTACAGTGTGTGTATGGTTTGCAGCATGCCTGATAGGGACGGTGCACAGCAGCTTCCAGTTATGTCCACACACCTGTATGGAAAGTAATTTGACACTAACGAAGTATGACGGTGTCCATGGTAAAAGTTCGTTCCTCCACTCCACTCAGATCCACGCCATTAGAAGAGAAATGATGATCAACATTGATTTCCACAGTCTGTTCTGTGAAATGTCTGACAGGCTCAGGTAACCTAGTCACGATTACTCCCTTTACAGTACTGTAGCACATCAACTTATGTATGTAAGTGATCATTTATTGACCAAAACGAAAGCAAAATAAACTACCACAAAGAAAATAATCACAGTTTGTGTGCTTTGTAGGGATGGATGTGGTGTCACAACGCAGAGTTGAATTGTGGTAGGAAGTTGATCTTTGGGTTTGTGGTTTGTCTTTGTGAAAAAAAGACCAAAAAGAATGATAAAACTACTGGGTGCCTGAAACTGAGCAACCATTTACCAAAAGAAAACCAGTTAAAGTGAACTTTATCACACAGCAATGAAAACAAATTAATGTTTATATGCCCTTTAGGATGAGTATGATGTCACAATGCAGGTGCATGTGATGTCATAAAGCAGGTGCATGTGATGTCACAATGCAGGTGGATGTGAGGTCACAATGCAGAGTTCGATTGCAGCAGAAACTTGCGGGTGCAGACAGTCTTGTGAAATAAATATAAAGGTAAAAACTAACCGGTGCTTGAAGCACATAAACTTATGTTCAACATGTAAGTATTTATTGACCAAAACACAACCAGTTAAAGTGAACCTTACCACACAGCAAAGAAAATAATAAATAAATGCAGAGCTGAACTGTAGCAGGAACTTATGGTTGTGGATAATCTTTGTAAAATAAACAGTATGCAAAATACCCCGTGGTTTTCGGGGGGTCCCATGTTGGCCCGCTAATCCGGCGTTGGCTGGCTGTTCACTCGATGCTGAGGCTAGGTTCAATTCACTCTTTCCAACAATCTCTTGGGAAAATTGGGCAGGTTTCGATGTATTGTAAAGTTTTTCAGAGGTATCCCAGGTATAGTTACAGTTGCTAGGGTATGAGGAACCAACTGGGTGAACCAGTTTGCTACAGCACCACCTTGAGGCAGACCAGTGCTGCATCTCTAGTCAGTTCAGAATAGCAGGACAGAAGCTTGCCGATTGTAAGAGAAGCAGGCTAAACAATGACAGCATAATGTCATAATAAGTTTACTTTCAGGGACCCCCCAGTATTTAGATTTTGAGACATTCAGGAGGTCCAAGAGGTTAATTAAGTGGGAACCCCAGACCCCCCAGGACCCCATGTATTCTGCACTTTGAAGATTAATATAAGTATAAAACTACTAGGCATTTTCTATGCAAACAAACAAATGAACCAAAAAAAAAAAACGTAAACAGACCTGATATTTCTATGGTAAAAATGGCTATTCATAACACATCTACAACACAGCCTTTGGAAATTCAAGTCATAGAAAAAGCAGCTGAAATCCATCTTGAAAAAGGCTACTCATCTATAAAAGTTAACTTCATAAAGTACAACATAGTTATTCATATCCTGTACCGATATATACATAGTATACTTACTGGCCACTGAGACAGATAATTATCAGTATGCATCACTCTGAGCTTTTGTTCATTCTGCTCTGGTGATTGTGCAGTTGGGAGTGGAAACAAGCAAAAGAAAGGAACAGCATTCTTCGTAAGGTTTGACACAGAAGCAGGTGTGTATGTGTATGACACAGAGAGGGACAGGGAGAGAGATAAGAAGAAAAATAATGAGCTGCTGAGGTCCTGTGTCTGTGCCTGTGTATCCACTGCAATGTGCGTAACAAATGAGAGGCAGAAAAAGCACTAAGCTTTGCGTGATATAGTATCTCTGCTACCCAAATAGTTACCTATGCATTCTCAAGAAAACACTAACATACTAAAGTACATAAGAAGTGCATAATAAGAAATTGCAGTACATTCAAATGGAAATTTAAATACTGACCAAGGAAGAACACAAGCTGTTTTCAGTCTAGCGATTGTCAGTGCATGTCTGTGCCTGTAAGTGCATTCATGAACAGTGAGCCTGGACATATTTTATGTCACAGCCACCCTCATTTTGCATGTCTGTTTGCATGTGCTCATCTGTTGGAGTAGTTAGGTTACCTTTGCAAAATGTCTATTTCCATATCATACCTTAACTGCTTTCCTTGCACAATCAAATTCAGATTTGGCAGGATTCCATTCATATGTAAGAGGGTGTGCCGTCTTGGGGTCAGATGTCCACAAGAAATGCTCTGAACATTCTAGTTCAGTGGTCAAAGGGCAGTGAGTGTGCGGAAGAGTTGTGTGAGGCAGAAGACTGAAGTCGTGAGTGCGGTGCACTGGCGAGCCAGGAGCTTAATATTGAGATCATGGCAAGTCTTCTTTCCGGTAGCGGTGCCCACGCGCTCCGCTGCCCGTGCAAATTCCTGATAGGTCTGTGCCAGATCTGCAAGTCCTGACAGAGCTTGGGTGTGGCGCTCCTGGCATCTCTGGCAGCTTGAGAAGCTCAGACATACGCTTGTCAACTGCACCAGTGAGTGAAAACTATCGGCTAATGCTTGCAGTGTTTCCGCCGGGGTTTGCCCGACTCTTACCACTTGCTGACAGCCAGCCAGAAGCGCCCGGGCCTCTGTGTGCAGCCTCCGTTTATTTTCAGAGAAGTGGGCTGCACAGGTGTCTCTGGGGTGCTCCTGGACACTGTCCTGGTCCTTCATAGCACCAGCCAGGACTGCTAATAGCATGCCAATGTCTCTCTGCAGTGCCAGGAAGCCTGTGGATGGTAATGGGTAGCGCCGGGACAGTAGGGCAGCAATAGC